GGAGTACTGCGTCCAGTTTTGGGCTCCACAATTCAAAAAGGATGTGGAGAAGCTTGAGAGAGTCCAGAGAAGAGCCACGCGCATGATCAGAGGTCAGGGAAGCAGACCCTACGATGACAGGCTGAGAGCCCTGGGGCTCTTTAGCCTGGAAAAGCGCAGGCTCGGGGGTGATCTGATGGCCACCTATAAGTTTATCAGGGGTGACCACCAGTATCTGGGGGAATGTTTGTTCACCAGAGCACCCCAAGGGATGACGACTAGGTCGAATGGTCATAAACTACTACAAGACCGTTTCAGGCTGGACATAAGGAAGAATTTCTTTACTGTCCGAGCCCCCCAAGGTCTGGAACAGCCTGCCACCGGAGGTGGTTCAAGTGCCCACATTGAACATCTTCAAGAGCAAACTGGATGCTCATCTTGCTGGGATCCTACAAACCCGGCTGACTTCCTGCCCTTTGGGCAGGGGGCTGGACTCGATGATCTTCCGAGGTCCCTTCCAGCCCTAATGTCTATGAAATCTATGAATTCTTCCCCTCCCCCTATGATCCTTTTCCACTCTCTCTGACAGCCTAGGGTGTATACACACATACTAAGTCAACTTAAAATAAAGCAACTTAACTAAGTCAACTTAAGTTAAGCCACATCAGAGCATACAGCTCCTTGACATGGTGGCAGTCATCTTGTGAGCTAAACTGATTTAACTAATGTGACTCAAGACAATACACATCAGAGGTGTATTATCTTGCTCCACATTTAAATTGACTCTGCTCCACATATTTATGTACACTCTGACAGTTAAGTTGACTTTAAAAAATTAAGTCAGCTTAACAGTCAGAAAGTTAGTACATGTGTATGCACCCTTAGACCCCTTTAAGTAAAAATATAAGGCTCTGCAGGGCCCCAGATCTTAGGAGAGTAAGATACTAAAAGGTGATGAGTGGCATTTTCTAGCCTCCTATTGGGTGGGGAAATTATTTCCTAATGTAACTCAGAAGATAACTGCCATTGCTGTTCTTATCATCGACAAAATGATATAAATACAGATTTATGTATTTGATTTACTGTCTAGCTGTGCTCTATTGCTTTTTTTTCTTCAGAAAGCAGAATATTTAGAAATCACTATTGGTCTGACTTTGGAGGCTGAGATGGAAAGGGCAGTTTGTACTAAAAAGATGAAAGGAAGGAAGAGCAGAGAAGTTCTTAATTAAAATGCTTTTGAAGAAGACCCATGTACTTTTCTATTTATTTTATGTTTATTCATCTCAAACTGCACCTAAAAACAAATATATGATAGGCTTTAGGACTGAAGAAACCTGCAGAAGTCAAGTGCTAGTAGATAACTAGTGCTAATCAAGCACTAGTAGATACTGCAGACACTCCTTCTGCCTGAAAAAGGGTGTTTGTACCCGAAAGCTTGCAAAGAAGAATATTTCCAACTATTTTAGTTAGTCTAATAAAATGTATCAGATTTACCCAAAGAACCTTGTCTGTCAGTAGGAAACTAAGTAGCTTTCATGAAAGTAGCCTCTTCCATTGGAGCTGAACTGAATCAACACAGAAACAGGCTGGAATCATTGTAGTTTGGGACGAGGTATTTCACAAGAGAACAGCTTTTGTTTGATGTTTTGAGAATTAGAGACTTCAAATAAATGTGAATCAAAAAAAGACTCTCTAAAGCCGGTATTTCTGAAATACCCATCCAAACTTCAAGTGCTCTGCAACGTATGCTGGGTGAGATTGGCTTTCCTTGCAGTAAATTCCCTCTCCAGGAGATATTCCTTAAAGTTGTTCCCATGATGTTAAATCAGGAGGATGGGATTCATGCCAAGCTGTGCTTTGATCTCCAGAATGCTCATAGTCATTATTGAAGCCCTTGTACATTAACTGGACATCAGGTTTTGAGGCCCAGTGTAGGTCAGATACAAAACCAGAGGCTGTACCAACTGTGACCACTGTTCATGTGCACATGCCCACTGAAGAAGTGGTTCTGTGAGAGCTAATACAGACCCAGGCTATATTATATTTTTCATATAATCACTAGAGTGAATAAGAGGGAAAATGTGTGCTCCACTGCCCAAGCAACACTTATACTTTCACGCCTGCCTGTCCCCTCCTCCATACGTCCATTCCTGACTCCTTCCATGGATACTGTGAAATGTCCTCTGCAGGACCCAGAAGTTATTTGCACTTAGTACTAGTATCTTTCACAGGAGACTGGGGAGATCAATGTACAGATATTTCCTCTATTATCAGATCTTATCTTCTAGAAACAGGTTCTGTCCTATTCCTAGAGAAGGATCAAATCCATAGCATCAATGCAGCAGAATAGCAAAATAGGATAAGGCTTTTTGGAATATTACACATAGCTCATCATAAAGCTGAAGCCAAAAATTAAATTGGTTTTTATGTTGCAGGAACTTTTATTCTATTTCCCCCCCATTTCCAACTTCCATTTTTGCTTAATGCAGTGTTGCAAATAAATGTCTATTTTCCGCATAATAAAATATGAAAAACAAAGAACATTAATGCATTTCCTTGGTAAAAGTCACCTTTTTTAGGAAAACAGGCTGAAGGTCACTTAAAAGGTGCTTT